TATATATATATATATATATGATATATCATATATACAGTATATATAACTAAGCATATTTGACCTCTAAAGTCTCATTAGTGTAATGCAAAACAAACAAATAAATAGTGATATGATAAAATAAATAAATAAATATTTATTCATTATGGCCCTGCTTGCTGTATTGCCTTTTATGATTAAATAAATAATGTAAGTTACAAATAAAATGCCTATAAATTTGGAGAACAATTCCCATAGTAATGAAAGGTAATTTTTAGGCAAAATATATGTATTTATTTTTTATTCTATTTTTTTCTTTTGAATTTCTGAGGTGAAATGTGACCTAGACATGTTTTAGTGACATTCACCTCGAAACAAAACCACAAGACAACACTGACACCACGTAGCCTACATGATGTCTTGATATAATATACTGACGGATTACAGAACCTTTCGATTCATGACCTAATGCACGATTTGTTTTTTCGTCATGAATAAGGGCAAGGGTGATGGCGAGCGCTTTCTGGAATTATTATTAGCTCATACACGCCACCTATCGGTCAAGAGCAGCAGCGCGCTTCAGTTCAAAAAGTGTCCGCACCATCAGTGACGACAGACACTGAGAAACTGATGGAAGGGGAGATGGAGTAGAAAGCGGGAGGAGAAGAGAGGGGAATAAAGAGAAGGGGTGGCAGAGACATTGTGTTTTTTTTCTTTCTTATTTAATTGGTCCTCCGGGATCCGGGGCGAGTCCTCCGTTCGCAACTGCGCAGCTGGAGATTCCACCAAAATACTATTGGAAAAAGCCGAGAGTTTATACAGTTTAGACCCCGGTCCCTTCTGATAAACCCACTCATTACCGAGAGCAGAGCTGGACAAGCTTTCGCAGAGACTCCCCAGAAGCCCGTTCAGAACTCAGACGCGCATCACCCAGTGAGATCTGTGCGCGCATCTCCACACTGACGCGCAACCTCTCCATCCGCCTCACTCTTGAGAGAGCCATCGATGAGCACGCATCTGATAGGAGAGCATCACAGGACAAGAGTTTCAGTCAGAGATCACGTCGCTTTCCACGATTTCGCTCTTGGATGTGTGGATTCGAGAGTTTCACATCAGTTGAAGTTGCTTGGAAGAATGTGTTGGAGACATCGGTGCGCTCCCGCTGAGCACGCAACAAACTAAACAGCTGGAACTCTAGTGTTCTGCTGAAAGTCGTTCTTTTCTAAGGGAATTATTTCGAAAGGCAGCGATCTACAGGCTGAACCCGCACAGAGAAAGGTAGGCGCTACTTTAGATCTGCATGTTTTATTCTTAAGAGAGGTTTTGAAACGGTCTAAATGTGAACGCTCGATGTCCACACCCAAATACTGGAATGTTTTGTGAGGTATCCTAAAAACGCGTCATCAAATTTAACACGGTTTAGTCAAGTCCCAAATAGCCAGACTGCGTAAATTACATCAGGGAAATTCATTTTTAACATTAAAATCAGGTAGAAGTTGCTGCACATTCTCACTTTTAATAGTGCGTACTTGACACGAGAGAACTTTTCTTACTAAACGAGTGTGTGATTTTTAGCCCTGCTAGCTGATAAATATATAAACATGTCCAGATGTATTTCAAATGAGCTGTGACTAAGTGTTCATGAATTTAAACTTCAGACTGGAGAAATTCTGCCGTGAATCTCGCAGGACTCTTGAATTATTATACTAATCTGTCACACTGAAACTGGTGCTTCAATTCGAAGCAATTTCTAGTACACTTACCACAGGTTCCTACTGGAAAGGGTGCGACATCTGGGGGTTCGACGTCCCCTTAATTAAGGCTTGAACGTTCAAAAAAGGCAAAAAAATGGTTGGAGGTCTTAAAAGCATACACGTACATTACTTTTAACAGCATTTTAATGACTATAAAAGTAAAACTTACAAGTTAGTAGAATAATAGACACCCTCGAAGTCGCGGTCGCCTGAGGCGGTTACTATAGCAACAGTACGCTGCTCGAGGATTTTCCGTTAGGATAAGTATTTTAGAGGTACAAATGGCAAATATATCACAGAAAACGTTTGTGTTTTGTTTAAATAGTCTTTAAGGTGTTTTACTACACATTTAAGTTATGTACAGTTATGTATTCTACACGTGCTACTTGTGTATAGTGTAGAATTGTAGTGTATTTAATGACTATTTTTGAAGAATTTCTTTAGAGATTTCTCTATTGTTGAGATTCATGAATGATCTTGTGAAATATTTCTGTTATGTATGTCAAATGTAAAGTGCTAAATAATGTAATGATTTATTTATTGCCAATGCCTGTTACTGTAGTTACTAAATGCTCTATTCGATGTTTAGATGAAACAAATACAGTCAGAACCAGTCATAAAGTTGATTGAACAACCTTCTAACATAATTTCTCAGACCTCTGTTGGAAAAATCAGTTTAAGATGACCATTAGCTGGTGCAAGGTTGTCAATAGGTGACCCCGAACAGCTAACTTTACCATTTTACAAAAAATCAGTTTGACCACCCTAAAGTGGTATTACCTGCTGGTAGCTGGTTCTGGTCCAAGATGGTTGGAAATCTAGAAACCAGCTCCTGTGTGCCTGTGTGCAAGAAAAGTTGTCTTTCTTGCCCTGAACAGCATGATACTGAATTCCGGTCAGGTTTAATAAATCATGTATTTGATCGTCCCTAACCGCCCACCAATTTCAGAAATAACCCATGATTGCTGCATTCAATCCCATCAAACAATAGCACAGTTTCTGTAATCTGCAGATAATCCAAGGTTTGACAAATGAATTGTCTGTTCTTAACCCCCATGCATGCATGCATGCACTGGAACAATGCAAGGATAAAAATACTTCAACTGGTGAATAATGTTTTGTTAGGCTACTTTAATCTCTGATGAGGATGATGATGATGATGGCATGATTCTGGCTGCAGGAGCACTCATTTTAATGCTGAGCTCGTGCTGTGCTGTGGTGTCCTGTACAGTGATTTTGGCTATCGTTGTTTTTACCTGCAGGTAATGAGGGATCGCACCTGAAGATGGAGCTTTTCTGGATTTTATTATTTTCTGTATTCCATCGCTACGTGCAAACGCAAGGAGTTTACGGTAAGGAGAAAATATGTGTCTTTTTAATGTTAAGGTTAGGGGTTGGGTGGGTTGCAGGGCATCCTGTTACAGGATATTGGTATTTCCTGCATGACAAGACTGTGCCACCCTTGTTTTCAGCACATTCAACATCCCAACATTGTTTTTCCCTCTTATGAGAGATGCTATGCCTGCTGGAATTTCAGATATGACAAATTAAACTAGTGGTAGGTCATCGCAAGCAGGTATAACAGATTTGCAGAGTGATATCAATCTATTAACACAAACTCAACGACTCTGTTCAATTAGATCATTATCAGATAAATACTTCATGATTATAATAAGAATGCAGAAATCTTTAGGAGCATTCATCAAAGAGTCTTATTACATCACATGATTGTGATAATTGTAGACTGTAGCGCGATTCACGTTTTTTCTCCATTTATTTCGCTGCAAGGTCGCGTTCGCGTAAATGTGCAGTAATTTCTCTCCGGGATGACACTCATTCACCTCGGTGCTTGCCAAAAATGATTTCTACTTTGCATAATTAATCTTTTTATATTGGTGTACCCTCTGCATTTACTTCACTTACTGTCAGTTTGTGAAAGGACCTAAAGAGCTCAATTAAATGTGCGGTGAAGAGAGGAACACTTGTCTCAGTTTGTCATATTGAAAGAACATTTAGAGCCTCTGGAACATTATGCCATGTCAAAAAAAAAGTTATTTGGTTTGTTATTTGTTGTTTTGAGATGTTAAAAGCTCAAATACCAAGTGAACGGTGAACTCCAAGGATTCACTCTCTGTAGGATCTTCGTCCATTTTTTGTGTAGTAAATTCGTGATGTCACAAATATGATTAAGGCATTGTGTTTTTGTGGTATTCCGTAATATCTGCATTGCATTACACTAATATATCCATCTTTGTGTAAAAGCAGCAGTTTATGCTCCATATACTTAAGAAATAAAGAATGCAAATGTGATATTTGCCTTTGCTTGTGTAGATTACATTCTGCTAGTCCACTACGAGAATTAAGAATAATTTTTTTTAGTAAACTGCAGGACGAGTTGAAATTATATGCTTGTATTTCACCCAGAATATTAACTTACTTTAGCTGGATGATGTCTTTCTCTCACACCCCCATCTTTTTATCTTCATATCTCATCACGCACATGCCGTCTCACCTGACTTTTAAAATTAATGTCATGCCATGCGTTTCTACCCCAATCACTGTAAGACAATGTTGACTGACCTTTTTAGTCTTTATTACTTTTAGTCATGCGAGTGCGCCAAGTTTAATTTTGTTATGAAGGCCTCCTTGCTGGGAGTGGAGTAAGAACCGCCTTAACGGTGCGAGAGAGAATGCCAGCTCAGTTAATTAAGGGCGGCAAAGCCCCAGAGTGAGCGAGACTTCACTCGCACTCCTCTTCCTACTTTATGTCTCTGCTATGGGGGCTGTTAACTCTCTGTGATTGGGACTTTATTCAGTGTTAAGATGGTTTACTTTTACTGGATTAATCTCACAAAACATGTCCAGGTCATGTAGGTTCATTATTTTATTTTATTTTATTTATTTTTCAAACTTATTTTTTATATTTTATTACATATTAAAATTATATTTTGTTATATACTAACATTTATTCATATATATTATTATAGTAAATTATAGTAAATAATAGTATCCAATTGCAGAGTCGCATCCCTGATGAATGGAGAAGTGCGTCACGTTGAAAAAGCTGCGAGGCGCTGTCCGATGTCCATCTAGCGCATATTTATATAGGGAAACTAATTAAAAAGCAGCGGAGCTTTGTAAACAGCTCAGAGTAATCATGTCATCTCCTTAAGAACGATATGATCGCCAGAACAAATTTACCGGGATTTTTGAAAAGGTCTTGTTCACACATGATCTCTTAATAGTAACTTACCAGTAATTTACCAGTACTGTATGTGTGAAAGGGGCTAAACTCTTCCTCTGCATATGCTGTGAATTTGAATTGCTTAACGTTCATCTGGAAAAACAGTGTGCATTATCTCACTAGATTTGTAACGTAAATCATTTATAAACCTTTGCCA